TCCTCAATGAAGAATTCCTTGATTTCTTATCCTTTCCCCTCCGTACTTCACCCCGCAGCTAGAAATGTTCTCAAACTTTTCTAGAGTACTTATTTTGGATCTCTCCTTCATCCCTAGTACACTGCATTCCTATTATCTTTTAATATCCTCATTTGCCCCATGTCATATCCTCCTCCCCACTTCCAACCATGTTCCATGAGAGCAAGGAATATCTTTCACCTGTGTATAATCAACACCAAGCACCGTGCTTTATTGATAGTAGATTCTCAACAAATGTTTGTTGAATTGAATTAGCCATCCATGCACATTGCTACCAATGATATAGATACTGAGGAATACTATGGGATTCTGACTACTGGATTATTTGGAGGCTCCTGTACCACCATAAAACATGTGAGCCTTTTCCTTACCTCTAGCCATTCTGTCTTAAAAAAATAGTAACAATATGTTATGCATAGATATTTTAAGAAATCTTGAATGCTTTTGTGCATTTTGTCTGAAAGAATGCAACCAAATTATTAAAAAAAAAAACCAAGCCATCCAATCTCATTTCCCCCCCAATGGCAAATAATCTAGTACATTAGAAATACACATTAACTTAGCAATTATGTAGTTATGATCCACTTATTTCTCTGAAATCTTTAGGAAAACCAAATGTACAGTTATTGTTGCTGTTACTTAACCAGTTCAATCAGGTAAAAAGAGAAAAATGAATGATACAAAGGCATCTTTGCAAACATTAGGCCTTCAGTGGTAGTCAGGACAGAAATCCTGGCTTTACAGGAATACCTAATATGACCTAGGACCATGGATATTAATATCCTGCTTTTTAGTCTAGATGGCAAGTTCTGCATTGCTTAGATCTGACTCAACTTCAACTAATGCTGCATTGTAGAAAGAGGAACAAAAAAGCTTATCAAACATTTTTAGGCTAGATCTCAGCAAAGAGTAAATACCAGTCCTTTATTGCACAATTTGGAATGAATTCAGAGTTCTGCTAAGGTTCATAGTGCATAACACAACTAATTGTAAGCTTAAAAGTTTCATGAGTTTCACCTCAGGTATCAAACACACAAATTCCAGGCCTCTCTGTCATGCTTTGAAAAATCTACAATAGAATCTAACATTCTTGATTAATGAGATAAGCAAATGCATTAACTTAATTCTTTAAAAACCTATACTTATTAACCCATACATCCTACAAATTAAAAAGCTATATGCAAAAAAAAACATTAAATTACATAACTGTTTCAATACATCAGCCCACCTTCAGTATTAGCTATATTTGCTTAAAATCCTCAATATCATTCCACTAATATCTGAATTATGTAAAATGTAAGGTCTGTATTATAATTTAGTGGAAGTGAGAGGAATCCATTCATTCATACTGAAAAAGTCACATCCTTAACATTAGATGTTTTTTTTCTGTATCTATAATCCAAAATCTTCAAAATAGTTTTTTTTCCCTTACCAAAAAGCCTTTTGATCAGAATGAGGATCTGAATTGTAAAAATATCTAAACCATTCTCAGTTTTGTGCTTTAGATTCTGTTGCACCAAACTACTTCTTGTGTTTCAAATAAAGCAATGACAGCACACACCTTCTTTGTTATTATTTATTCATGGAAGGCCAAACCAAATGCCTGGGTGGATCCCCCAAGACATGAAGTAGGTCATTTTTTTCCATCCACAGGACCCTATTTACATTTAAACGAACTTACTCCTTGTGAAAGATTGGCTCCAACAGAGAATACCACACCACCACAGACATAGAAATTAAATTACAATCACAAGTATAGAAGCCACCAACATAGTGCTAAAAATATCTTAAAACATTTGTGTGTGTGTGTTGTGTGTGTGTGTCTCTATATATGCAGATGTACATATGTGTATGTTAGTAATGAAGAGTACAATGTTCTCTTTTAATTTATGAGATGCATCCTTGGCTAAACATTCCAAATCCATATAAGTTTTCCTCTTCAAGCCAAACATGTTAGGAACAAGACTACTTCTATAATGACCAGGCTCCTCATCAGGGTCATGAAAACTGTCATGTGCAGCTCTGAGATTAAAATGGATGAGTCCTCCTGGCTGATCCTAGAGTGGCATTGATTTGACAAATGTGGGAAAGTCCTCAGCTGTGAGATGGGGGCTTAGGTTGTGGGCTCTTGGTCAATTGAAAGGTTGCATTAAATGTAAATTATAGGCCTGTTACTTAGATATATACCCTTCTCAACCAGGTGAAAGGCAAACAGAGCCTTGCACTAATTCACAGATGAACTGGTGATAGGCTTCGAGTAATAACAGGCCAGCAAGGCAGCAGTAGGCAATTATAATCCTCATCTTTGAAGGAAGGAAGGAAAGGTATTTTTATATAAAGCCATATTAAATTTCCTTTTAAAAGTGCCTCTATGTATTTCACTTTACAATTTATATAGAAAAGTATTAGTTTAAAAAAAAAACCATAACAGAACTGGCAATAAATATCACAGTAACAATTGTTCTTTTATTAAATATTTATTGAAATAAATTCCTGTGCTTTCTCATTTTTCTTCTTCTGGTTCCAATATTTATTTACAGCTGATTATTAACATCTGCCAGTGTAACAGTTTCATCTGTACAGAAGCTGAAGAGTAAAAAAAGTCACCCACCCCCTCCAACGTGACCTGTAGTTAGACAGAAAACAGTTTTCCCAGTCACCGCTTGGCTTCCTGTCTGTGACCTCTGAAAAGCATTGGAGGCCAGGGTTAATGGCCTTTCCAATCTCTGTGATAAGAATTCATTTTGTTCTATTACCAGCAGTTATCTGAGGAGGCTGCTGTATCACTTCAGCAGGGTTCAATCAATGAGAGGACCTAATGAAGTAACCAGCTGTAGCTCTATTTCCCTGGTCAACTCTATCAGACAAATAAGATCTATCACTCACATCTTAAGGCTGATCCTAGAAAAAGCATCTTCACATGCTGAACCCGTATGCATATGAACTAATGATACCCGACCATTTCTTTTTTAATCTTCCCTTTTGATATAGCTTTTCTAACAGATAAAATGGAATGGAATGGGTTCTGAGATGTTGCATTAAGAGGACAATAATGAAGGATTAAAGAAGAGTGGATTTGCAGAACAGCTGAAAGAGTTTGTCATAATAGGAAAAATAGTACAAATTATACTGCATCCATCACAGACCCGTTTCTTAGCTCTACTGCCCCAGGATGTTTATATAGCTTTTCATGCTGGAATTTTAGAATGCTCAAAAAAGGATGCAAAGGGAAAAAAATTATTTTGTTTATTATTTCCAGACTTAAGCAATTAAATGTCACAAACAGTTTTAATTATAGGATTTATATTTTACCTTGTCATTTAGAAAAGCAATATAATTATGTGATATTTTTACTTTTCAGTCAAATGTCAGTTAACATAATTGCAGACCTTAACATTGGTTTGCTTCATACTTAGGTGACATCATTAAAAAACAAAAATGTTATTTGTGGAGACACTGTGCTATTTATATAGATTTGATTCATTAATTAGATCTCTCTGAAGTTCAAAAAGTGATTTGCTGGCTAATCAACTAATTCAATTTTTTTCTTTACCAAAAATTTTAAAAGTTGCCTTTCAGAAAACAACAGCAGCAGCTGAAAAAACAACAGCAACCACAACAATAACAATGGTTTTCACACCTTAGATTTATAGCTTCATAAATAAAAACAGGTTAGACAGTCACATAGGAAGGGACTCAGGAGGAAAATGCAATCTGTGCTTTTAAAAATCAGTTCTTGGTTGGGGTGGGGGTTGGTGTAAAGGAGTAGGAAGGGGAGGAGCATGGATGGTGTCAGAGGTTCTAGGCTGCCCCCAGAGTCATATCAGCCAGACTGCGGCAGGAAGCCATGTTTCTGGAGGTTTCTGTTTGCTGGTATGTTGAAAGCCACATGTAGCTGAGTTTACTTTATTAGGTTAATCAAGGTGAATCACATGAAATGAAATTTATATCCTTTTAACTTGGCTGCTCTCTTTGTCAGATGGAAATGAAAGAAAGCTTGGCTGTTTGCTGCTATGCGAAGAGAGATGATATCTAAGTATGGAACACAAAATAAAAGTCCTAGCTAGTCTGACCCCTTGATATTCACACCATACACAGTCATGCATGCCAAAAAAAAAACTTATTCATTAAAAGCTAAATAATTTTCAGTGGAGAGCAGCAAAGCTAATGGAATATATGTATGTATGTATATATACATATATACAATATGTATGTATGTATATATGTGTATATACATACATACACACATATTTATATATAAGCACTACAATGCATATGCTCCAAATACATCTGTCTATTTTTGCGGTGTGCAAAAAACAGTGACAGTTTTCTTTTGCAGGTAGTCTGCATTAATAAGGCAGTTTGAGTGATACCTATCAGATCAAAAACCTGAATATCCTTCATTCAATTCCAAACCTCTATAGTGATAAAGAAAGGATTGTAGGAAGATGGGAAGAAGGTAAATGAAAGGCACGATAGAATAAACATATATTTTAATATAGCTCCATAGTATTTAAGAGCACTTTTGAAAACACAATTTTTTTTCCCCTTTGACATCTAGATGCATGTGAAAAAAGACTGGACTATCTTTACTGCATATGTAAACAGATAAGAATATGCCTAGAAGGCATTTTGGGAACACCTGTCAATTTTTTATAGAACACACTGATTGTGGGATATTGATTGCATTTAAACAAAGTTGTTTCAAAAAAAATCAGCTAACAATTCGTGTAGAAAGGGCTGATCAATATTTAAATGACTCTCTTTATTGATTTAAAATTAACTTTCAATTAAGAGATCCATAGGACTCTTAACTGCGACACTTATCCTTTCAAGAGAAAATAAAGGTACATTTATCGATACACTTAAACAGCAGTGGCTGGTTTCCTATCGATTCAGTCATTTGTGCTGGGATTCGTTAGCGTCATCAGGCTTTAGCTCGCTTACTAGGTCTTCAGGGTCTATGATACTGCAAGATATAGGAATGTGCAAAACAACGCAAGGGAAGAATAGAAAATCTAACAGAATTAAAAGATAGAGGAACAGGTAAGCTATCTTTAAGCTTTTTAAGTGTATTATTCAATGACGAATGCTTAGACTGTTTGAGTGTCTGTCTGAAAAACAACCCTGAAAAGGGCTGATTTTTTTTTCTCCAAAGTACCTGGGTTAAAGACAGCATACTTTGTGTTGTGAAACAGTATAAATAAATGAAATCTTTGTATTATCGATTAGTAAAAGCTCTATTGGCTTCTATTGACCAACAAGATCACTAACATGTATATATTGATTATCATATGATCAATATCAGCTAAAACATTGTTTATGAAGTGTTTTTTAAATGTGATATCATATTTCCTATTTTTAATACTGTATATGTATTTTTAAAGCCAAATTTATTTAATATCATGGTTAGAAAACTGTATTCAGTATACCTTTCTGAGCATTTATCACTAATTAAATTTCACAGTGATTTTACGTTTTAAAATTGGCTTAATGAAGATAAATATTGCTGAATAGAAAAATAGAAGTATAGCCAAAAGATGGAAGAATAAATCATAAACATATGAATAGATCAGGGAATTTGGTCTCAGATATGAGAGCTATAACTGTCTTCCTATTTTGCATTGGCCTCGTTGCCTGCTACTGGATGGGAACTCTGGACATAATAGAGATAACTGATCAAACACATTGCATATATCTTTACATATTCTAATCTTACATTAAAAGAATAAAAATAGACATCCAGAGGGTATGACATATGAACATAGCAGAGTCTCCATAACCCTGGGTGAAAGATATGAGTGAGGGATCCTCTTTTCAGTCATGCAAGATCGTGTTTTTTTGTTTTCTGGTTATTGATGACAACCTTAGAAAGCATTTTTTCTTACTGGCTTTTTCTATGGAAAAACACACTCACATATATAAATACATATGTGTGTATGTATGCATATGTATGAATATATACATGTATATATAATGTATGTGTATGTATATATATATATATATATAAAATGTGTGTGCCTATATGTATATAGATCTAGAACTCTTTTCAATAAAATGAAGTACCAAGAGTTGGCCCATCTATTACCTTTTCACCTGTTGTGAAATTAGACTAATTATGCTAAAGTCTAATTATGCTAAACATCCAAACTGGTAGCAATGTTCTTTAGACCTTATATTAAAGTGCTTGTAATTTGTCTAATGAATTGCCAATCACATAAAATGATTCAAGAAGCTCTATATATTAGAGTTTCAATTTTTTTTTCTAACAATAGCATTTGTTTTCTGTTCCTCAAGTCTTAAATCAAACTTTTTAAGGTTGTGCTTTATGTAAGTTATAGCTTTAGCATCAAAATGAGGGAGAATGAACTTGTGTGATACTAGGTGGAAGTAAAGACCAGAGGCAGGGGTATCCAGATACAAGTACCCTCTCCTAAAAATTTAATCACATAATATTAGTGTAATATAATATGGAATATATCTTGGAAGTTACAATTACTAAAAAGTGCAAGATGCCATTATTTCTAACCAGAAATTAGATGATTATCCTAATTAAGTGCTAGCAGGTGGCACTAGATGACTGCTCCAATCTTCTCTGATCTGCAGAGGGAGAGAGATGCATGGCTCGGTGTCTACAAAACCCAGGAGTAGTAAAAATTGGTTTAAGCAGTGCTGAGTCCCAAGGTGCAGAGTAAGGATTCACTCTGATTTAACACTTCCTTATCACATCAAAGAGGTGAAAAAGGCATCTTTATGGATTGGCCTGGGGAAAAAGTCCACAAGTTCAGCTTTTTACCCTAGTGGAAAAACACTGGGACACTGCTAGGACTCTGAAATAATGCATCACTATGATTCCAGTCATGCAATATTTGCACTTCAAGTAATTAAAGCTTGAGTGTGATTTTATCTGCTTTTTTTTTGAGGGCTGAAAACATCCACTATCATGTGATCATTAAGTTATGAGTGAAGGTTAGGACTAAGTAAAGTACCTTGCCTTCCTGTGAAATGAATGATTACTGCATCTAGCCAATCACCTCCACATAGAGTTGTTCGCTAAGGGTTTTCCTGTACCATTAATCATATTTAATCCATAACCAAACTAACACAATATGCCAAACTCACTGTTGAATACCTCAGTAAAATAGAGTTCTAGATCTGTATGAAATTTGTAGTTAAACTCTTAGAAAGCCTGAAATGTAGGTCTTAGATCTCCAACTTCCTCAATTCTTCTCTGGAATCACTAATTATCATCTTAATTTTAGAGATGATGATGATGATGATAGCTAACATATAGAGTATAGGATATTCCAGATATTGTGCTAAGTGCTCTATAATGATAGCTCACATTTTTATAGTGTGTACAATGTCGGGTACAGTATTTAATGCTTTACAATTATCTCAATCCTATTATTATTACCATTTTACAGCCGAGGAAACCGAGGTAGAGGGAAGTTAAGTGATTTGCCCAGAGTCAGATAGTAAGTGCCTGAGGCTGGATTTGAACTCAGATCTGCCTGACTGCAGACAGCACTTCGTCTATTATGCTACGGAACTGCTAGTTTATGGGTTTGTGATTGGTATAGGGAACTTTCAGGTGGGAAAATCTCTTGATCAGCCATTCTCTCAAACTTAGAGAACATTGCATGCCTAGGACCTGGTGCTCTATTCTTTGGGCTTTTCATTTCACATGTTTTGAGGAGTGAGAAGCTAGAATTTAGCAGTGATAGAAAATTGGATCTGTTTGATGTGCCATGCTGGGGGAGCCATGAAAGTACAGGGAACATATGCCTAAAAGGCAAACTGAGTGATTCCTATAAATGATGGAAAATAAATGTTATCTAATTTCTGAAATTCTCTTATCCAGTCTTATCTGTCTGTATAGAGTTTGTTTCAGCATTGTTATTGTATTTGTTACAATGGATCAGACATGCTTGAAAGATTTGATTCCAGATATATCTAACATTTTTCTGATACCTTATAATGTCTGATATCTCACAGCATGGCTAGTTTACTTAAACCTTTTTTTTTTATTTTTTTTTTTACCCAAAGGCTTACTGACACCATAATTTCAAGAAGGTTTCAAACCACTTTACCCAAATCATGACTAAGATGGACACAAATAATTACAGGAGTTAGTGCTACAGGGTGTAAAATTGTCCTTCTCTTAGTGGAGATGCATTCACTTCATTCTGCTATTCCCTGCTGAGAAATGTGTGGAAACTGTCTGAGAACACTGCATAATCCTCCAATGTGAAAAAAGAAATTCTAGTAGAGTTACATATATCCTTTGGACACAGAAAAATGAAGCACAGGAATTCCCTATACCAAGAACAAATGTTAAGTGTTCTCAAGTCAACAAGCTCAAATAATAATTCCCATTCTTTAGAGAAAAACTTTGAAAGTTTGCAAAAATTAAATAATTTCACACGTTCCCTCTTCCCCCCTTTTTTTGGATAGAAGTTAATGGAATGGAACTAAACTTCAAATTCCAAATAAGGAAGGATAACTATAGATCTGCTATGAATACTGAGCTGTTTGGTTCTCAAATATTATTTCATTTGGGTGCTTTTTTCCCTTTTATTCCTACAAAATTTTCATTTCATTGGCTACAACTAAAGTGAATGCCCAAGTAATAAAGTCAGTAAATATCTTCTGTAAAACATGGAAAACAACTTTGTTCTTATACCCTTGGTCATTTGATTAACCATGCAAAATGGAATAATCATGGCTACAGCAACACATAGGAGGCAATGGGAGAAATTTTAACTTGTTGTTCAACCATAGAAAATAATGTAGTACTGTAGGCATAAGGCCAACTTTCTTACCCTTGCATGCCACTGATTAGTTCAGCCTTTGCAGAACAGAAATCCTTAATCTTCTCTTTTTAATATTGAAGAGGTAAACCCTCTTCACCTGCACGTGGAGCCTGCTTTTTCATCAAAGCTCAGGAGATTCCAGCAACAAAATCAATGTATGCATGTTCAGAGCCGTTTTCAGGGTTTTGTAAGACAAATCTTTCAAATGGGAGCTAGTTGAATGCTATTGAACTGGGTTTCGATCTGATAGAGTGAGTGAACAACACAGAAACAGTTCACTTACCACTGCTCACACTACAGGAGGCTGGGATCAGGTACAGCCCTGCACAAATACAGCTGTGCCCCTTCTCTGTAACCTTTGACCTTGCTTAATCCAACACTAAACCTAACAGGTGACTGTTTAAATAAATAAATATTTAAAGATTCTTTGGATTTAATGAACATAATTACTCAGTTTCTTCTGACCACAGTAATCAAGTACACTTAAGGGAAGCTCCTCCAATGCCCCTCTTGGGTTTGGTAGAGCTGGGGGTAGAGGAGTCTGGAAAGGCTTCAGAAACATAGACCTAACTGTTACTATCATGTGGTGAAAAAGTCCATTGAAAATGCCAGTGCCTTTAATTGTAAAGTAATCCAGGATATGGATTTGTCTATTGAATCAACAAATGCTGGTTTTGGTTAAAGGGACACTATCACTGCTGATATTTATACTACCAATTAAAGGTCTTGATTCCTTGAATATTTAGGGTCCCTTATCTTAAACAAGGGGTGGAAGGTTGCTTAATGCTAAATCTCAAACTCAGCAAGTATTTATTTATTCAGATGACCCTTTTACTAAGGGGCTAAAAGCACATGGTTATACCAGTCCTCCATGAGCTAAAACAAATCTCAGTCAAAAGCTGACTTTGGAATACTGACATACACTAAACCTTAAAGAGAAAAAGCATTTACTAATGTATTCAGATTACTTTTATTAGGTCCATAGAACATCTGAGCCATCTACTTAGTCATGACACACAAAGAATCCTACTACTGGTGAAGAAGTTTTACCGTATGGAAAAAATGAGAAAAGTGAGCAGTATTTCTAATTTGAGGAAACATTGAGACAGCTTATCTTGGAGGTAAATAATTTCTTTCCTCTTTTGTGGGGGGAGGTAGAGAAGTGGGGTTAATAGACCTATTCTTAAATACGCATTTTGTTTATTAAAACAATCGCTTTAAATGCACATTTGAAAAATTTTCTGATACTCATGCAAATAATCACTTATCAGATTATTATTTTACATATAAAAGACATTATCTATTTACTTTCATCTAAGATAGTGAAATGATATAATTATACACCATCAATATATGAGTCCTATTTTAAAAGGAGTACAACATTGAGGAGGTAGAATATGAGTGCTTACAACAGGATAACTCATTTTTCCCAAATTATGTTGATAAGAGATCCCAGAAAAAAAAAATTCAAGATAAAGCAAAATACTCCCAATGGTAAACAGCAGAATAGTCAAAGAATCACAGATTTAGAGTTGGGTGGAATCTCAGAGATCACCTAGTCCAACCTCATAATTTTATAGACTAGCTAATCTGAGAGCCAAAGAAGTTAAATGACTTGTTCAGGTCATCTCATTGGTAATAAGTAACAGAGCTCCGGTTCAAACTTACACCCCTGATGCCGAGTCAGTGTTCTTTCCATGACACCATTCTGCCTATTCTTAAGGAGAAATCAATAGACAGAGAGAGCAGAAGTAAGTTGGAAAATGTTCTATTTAGGGATTTTCTTTTGGATTTTAGGAATTTTTTTAGGGATATTTGGGTATTCTTCTTTTCAGCACAAGCTAAAATATGCACTAAAAATCCAATATATCATTATCAAACTCTCTAATTGCTCATTGTATTTTAAAAGTCTCCCCTATTTTAACCTTCATTTTAACATTACCCTAAAGGAATTTTATTTCTAGTAAATATTAGGAATAGTTACTAGAAAGAAAACCACATTTTTTAAAAAATGCAGTTACTGTTAAAAATCCTTATACTATCAAGACGTTCCTACTATAATGTTCAAAGCAGAGAAATTCTGATCGTGTCCATTCTGTTTGTGTTTTTAACATTATTTTCAGGAACGAAATGAAAAACTGGATCAAAGGAAACTGAAGCACATTCCTCCATCCATATACAGATCAGCCCAACAGAACTTTGCAGAGGTATGTCCTTGTGCTCATAAATATTTTATCACCTTGCTAGTTAAAAGATTCTTGCATACTGATACTTGACATCTCATGTGTGTTGACATGGCTTTAAGAATTAGTGAAAAATATGACTTTCATAGAAAGTTGATACCTTGCATTAGCCTCTTCTGTTCCTGGTCACAAAGACCTTCTCAGGCCTCATTCTATAGAAAGTGAGCTCAAAGGCTGGTAAATATATCAGTAGCTTTGAAGAATTTTTCTCATTATTTCATGTTAACTAATAAGGACATTCAAATTCCAATGTGAATGTGAGAATGAAGAGGTTCTTTTCAGAGCAATGGAAAGAATTCTTTGAAAACAAAGGAACATATATACCTCAACCCTTCCAGTGTCCACAATCCTACAGCTTACACTTTTCTGTTCTCTACAAAGTTTGTTATATTATGCTTTTGTTTTTTCCTTAATGATCAAGCACTTTCTTTTCCATAAAACATAGGAAATGCACCAGGTAAAGGGGAATTTCTGATGGCAGAACTTTAAACACGACCTCAAGTTTCACAAAACCTTTTTTTTTCTCTTTTTAGAAACAATTAGGCAAGGCCATATTTGTTTAGCAATTAAAAAAAAACAACACTTGCTTGCAGAAGCTTGTAAGCATTATGTAATTTTAAAAAAATATATGCTACAAGTACATATGCGTATTCTCACCTCCAGCTTAAATACACTGAAGGTTGTAGTTGGTTGCACAGGAATTGTCTGAAGAACATTATAGCCAGGCAAACACGATTGTATTCCAACTAAAATGGCTCTCTTTATACCGTGTATTGAAACTTGATAACTGTTGGTTATAAAATTCCTTTGATTTTCTGTAGGTAATAAAATACTTTGGCAATTACTATTGACAGTTCTGGATAATCTTGAAGGCTGCCTTGCCTGAAGAAGATGAGTGTTACAAATCACTTCAGTGAAAGAGGGAAGAACAGCAGCAGGCAGCAGACAGGTTTCAATTTCACAATGCTGATTATCTCATTCGCGATTCCATGCATGCCTAAATCTGAGAATCCCTCAAGCAGCTATATGGACTTCTACTTTTAAAATGCCTATTACGCTTTCATACTTTCTCCTGCTTCCTGAAGAGTGCCATTTCGCCAAGCTTAAATAGCAGAAAATTGCAATGCTTTTTCCTCTGCCCATCTCCTCAATCTCTATTAACCTGCACAAGAACAAAGGAGTATGATGGTCTGGCTATAGGCTGAGAAATAGGTTTGAAGTTGTTTTTCATTTACTGGTTCTCATCTTTTTGATTCATCAATGCATCTCCAACAATATCCTTCTTTTTATACCTAAGCAAATTACTGAAAATACAATCCTTCCCCCCCCCAAATATGTAAACGCATTTGTCTTTATGCATCTGTAGGAGGCTGACGCCTGTGCAGCACACACACATGCACACACGCACACATAGACGTTATTATTTACATCAACACCAAATGATACCGTGTGGCTTTTAGAATGTGTCATGATTTAAATAAAGTGATAAAAGTGAAACTGGCCCAAATGGAATTCATTCTCTTTAGGTTATAGGAGAACAATGAGCTATGAGCAGAAAAGCAAATTGTTGAGGCACCTGGCTCTAATGTTTTGCAGGAGGCCTTTATTAGATGTCATAAACTGAATGATGCATTACTCTGTGGACAATTTACAGCCTGCAAATGTGGAGGTAAAATGGAGGACAGAGCTTTTTAAAATAATTTTTAAACAATAAGTTTAAAGGTTCCTCTAAGAACAAATATTTATAAAATACAGAAATCTCAATCACCTCACTAAGTTGTGTGCGGACTCCTAATTGTATGTATCTCAGCCTCTTTTAAGAATGTTTTTTCTATGAATGTGAGGAAACAAGGAAACTTGGGAAGATAAGATTGAACTGATGCAGAACCAAGTGAGCAGAACCTAGAGAACCATTTATACAATGAACACAGTGATGTAAAGGAAATCAACACAGAGAGAATGAACAACTTTGGTCAATGCACTCACCAAGCATGACTTCAAAGGGCTGGTGGTGATGCATTCTTTTGCCTCTTGGCAGTTAGGCGGTAGACAATAGGTGAGGAATAAGGTATATGATTCCAGGCATAACCAAATATTGGTTTGTTTTACTTACCTATCTTTGTTAAAAGATAGGATTCTATGAGGATAAGGGTGAGAAGTATTATTAGTAAAGTGACATCAATATTTTTTTAAAAAAGGATGTTCAGAAAATTTTATTTTGTATAAAAGAACAAACCATTTCTTAGATTGATGACAAAACTTATCAGAATAATTAAATATGGCCAATCCTAAATGCTAATTACAAGTAGAGAAAGGAAAGAGGGAAACCATTTTCTTATTTTTGTTTGAGAAAGTTTGAAGGCTCAATGCCTATTCTTTCTAATCAATTAAACTAAAACTTCATGAGTCCTAAAGATTTTTTTAAAAAAGATAATTTTGTCCATCCAAAGCTATTTTAAAATAAAGTCTGTTTTGCATTTTAAAAGATAAAAGAATGTTTTCTAAAATGACAATTGCTGGTTGGCCATCGATTCAGAGCTTTAATCTCATGTCCTGCTCAAATTTCCCATTATGTCTCACTGAGGCTTAGAGGGATAGAAAGGCCGAACTGTGGCCTTCAACAAAAGTGGAGGGGGGGGTTACAGCATTAAGAAACACAGCTGTTGCTCCCAAACTGCAAATGTTAGAATAACTCACTGCTTGTTTTTTTTTTCTTGCTGCTAATAAAAACTTAAAGTGTTTTGCATGCTTTCTATAAACAGTGCACTTAAGTTTTATAATCTAGTACATCTTATTAAGCGTGAAGTCTGCTGATCCCTAAATTATTCATAACATGGTCCAGACTGATTAAGATTGGCTTGTTAAGGAGCACAAGAAGCAATTAAACTGACAAGGCAGTGCGGCCTTGATGTATACATTTATTATCACAAGAATACCCAAAGTGAATGCCCTTATTAAGCAATGAATTTCACCTCACTGGCCTTCTACCATTGCTGCCACAGGCAGAGAGAGCTAGGAACAACATGTCAAAAGCTAACTCTGAGGAAATGCCTATCTTCAAGTGAAACCGATTTTGTAATGAACCTTTCAGTTCACTCCTGAGGTAATAAATCCTGACTGGTGCATTAATTACTTGATAACATCCCATCAAAATGCAAATGCAGCACTTGACCCATAGGAATGGCTCACTAGCTGTTAACTCTTCAGGGTATACATAAATTGTCTGTTTTCTTTTATCAAACAGGGCATTTATTTCCATCTTGCTAGGGTGAATGTCACTCTTGCCACCCTCGGCCCCTCTGTGGCCTGACACCATCATTTGCAGAAGACTGTCACTATGTGCCAACATCCTAATCGTACTACTCCTTCACTTTGTACCTTTCAAGAGAAATTCTTTCCCCCTCCCCCCTGCAACTTCTTCAACCCTCCCTCCAGCTCAGTCCCCCCCTTTCTGAAGGAATCTTGCATGTCAAGGACAAAGCTGTAATAGTGTTACAAAGAATAACCCCTACCTCTAAGTACACTAATCTGTCTTTTCAATGGCAATACACTAAACAAGGAATTTACTTCCTTTGAGTGATTAAATGAAAGCTGCACATACATATGAAGCCAGATCCAGCTTAGAGCAGCAAACATATCAGTGAGGCCTATGAAGAACTCCCCTGAAAGTATATTTGCCCCATGACAGGAAAGAGTTTTAAGGTGTTTATTTTAATGCCTTCAATAAATATTCAGTGTATCTTCATTAAAAGGGCTAGAAATGGTACAGTGCATACCCCTGAAGAGATAGAGAGATGAAGGGAAGAAGCAAAATACTGTAAAATAAACATTTGAGATTTTGCAAAAACTGTCCGGTTACAGAGTGTTCTCTCAGCATCGTATAACAGACTTGTTTAGTTGTGGGAACTGTTTCCACAATGAATGTTAATGAGAATTTTTGTTTTATATTGGCTCATTCAAAATTCTGATCTACATCAGACTCTCCCACCTGGGTCAACCTGCCTTCCAGTCCATTTTATTTGTCTTGAAGGCTTGGTGAAAATCCTTAATTCAGGTTACTAGGCAACCCTGCAGGTGAGAAAATATAATGTTTGGTCTACTCCATTTTTGAATGCACACAGTGGCCTAATGCCTTCAAAATAGACTGCATAGCATGCACTGATAATTCTCTGCTACATTCTCTAAAGGCGAGGTCAGAAGAAAATTAATTGATGCTGAAAATAATGACAGAAGGAGAGGCACCACTGAGACTTGGTGTGACTGGCATGTGATAATGTTAGCAAGAATCCCAGCATGTGACTGGACAGTGTGATGAAAAATATACCCTCTGTGAGGGAAAAACAAGTTACAAAACTTAATTAGTTTTTGACACTTCTTCATAAGTTATTATCTTTTCATTTGGAACATTGCCTTGGGACATCAATACACAAGAAGAAATGAAACATTCTTATTGTAAATATGAAAGAAAGGCAACTTTATATTGTACTTTGTCTCTTTAAGTTCCTCTTGTATAAACAAAACATATCCCCTACAAGCTGGGATATAGAAGATAGTGAACAATGAAAACACATCTGCTAAAAGTATGGCGGAGCCTTTGTCAACATATGGTCCCATTACAATTGATTATGCAGTTTTACTTGAAGAAAAGGTTACATACAAATCAAAAGTGGCCAAAATGAGGCTTTTAGATGGGAGGTGGTTAAAATCATATCCCAATCACAGTGATGCTTCCTGTGCAGCAAATGTACTTTTAATTTTTTCCACTGAGGTTCATACCTAGAAGTAATTCACACTGATTACTAAATAACCCTTGTGAGTTGCTTTGTCTTTTGAATTTCAAAAAATACACTTGCCGTGAGCAATGAATTTCATAAACCAGCAGCTCTCATGCTTGATGAATCATTCTGGTTTTATGCAGTGCTGTGTGATAGAGAACTGAGATAAAATATTCTATCCACAAGCTATTCAGTACAATTTATCATCAGCGGCTCACTAGTCCAGTGATAATACCTGGCTTGCAGATTGTAATGATCAGATTCTGTTTTTATTTCAAACAGGAGCGATTCCGAATACCAGAGTTTTTAATTTACATACATTAGTGAGGTTCAAATGTGGCAATAGCTACAAGCAAATTCACTTGCAAACTGAATGCTCGCCTTGCATAATGGGTTCCCTTTAGCAATTACTCACCAGTGAAGTACCCAGATAAAAATGAAAACAAAGGGAAAAAAGGGAAATCATGATACACACACCATAGTGTGGACGAGGATAATTACTGAACCACAGTGAAGGTCACGTTTATATCTGTTTTAGTAATTATTTCTTGTATCCTTCCTCTGTATTGAATTCCTAATGCAATATTCTTTCTATTCCATGGTACTGTATTCTGTTTTATTCTGTAATTTTCTGAAATTTCAATACTAGCTTCCTATTATGTAAAAGCAGCAGCACAATACCATTAATAGAAGTTATTGTTGATACTGTTTCAAATGACTAAAATAAGGAGGTATCTGGTAAATACACTAACATCAAAATCTCGGCAAATTACACCAGGTTGAACATTTTCTAAAACCAACAGGCTTCTAATAAAATACCTCTTATAGCTGCATCACTTTTATACTGACCACAGTATTGAGCTTGAATTCCCAGCAGCATCATTACTAGACATTTTCTGCCACCTTTCTAAATCTGAAAAGCTTCCTACATTTAGTGGAGATTAGGTAATGCTACGGTCAATCAATAGCAGCCATCAATTCCATACCTTGTTCAGAGGAACAAGTTGATTAAAGTAAAATTAAATCTAGGTATTTCTTGAAACTAATTTGTAGTCAGAAGGAAAAAATATTCACTGGCCATTGTTTTTTTTTAGAACGGCATTAAGATTATGACTTACCAGAATAAACTAGAAATTCTGCCACGTGGTCAGTGCTGAATCCTCGTCATGGTATTGAGGACCAGGACCCTGAGGTTCAACTATACCATGAAGTTTCAATTTTGATTTTTGGCTGTAATATAGCCTCCTAAATGGTTAATTTCCATTCTTTTTTGACAATAGTCCTTAAAATATGTACTTCTATGATAGAAAGGCAACATTCCAAAGAAATCATGATATTATTTCTGTATACATGCAATAATAGGCGTGTATGTTAGGATTATAGATTCTGTAGTCACTGATGATGCTTCTAGCACAGATCTGGTCGAGAGGACAGAAGAATTGGATATCGTGTAAAACGTTGAATTAATCTGATTTCTTAGAGGTCACTAAATAAATTCATACTGCAAGATTGAGGAAAGAACAGTGAACTATGAAAAAAGGTGATTTATGTCCTAGTACTGGGCCTGCCACTAACTCACAATCTGGCTTTGGGCAAGTCGTGTACTCTTTGGGCACTTTGGTTCCCTCACTTCTAAAATAGGGGCTGAAGATAGGAAAAGAACTCCAAAACTCCTAGCTATGAAA